CACTGTATTGTGTTATTTCTGACATTAAAAGGCATTTTCCTAACAGTAACCTATTTGGCGTAGCTGACATAGCTGAATAGCATGTGCAGGTTTTGGGAGGCTCTGTGCCACAAGTAGCTAAGAGTGGCCTGATGTAGCCTGAGAAGTACCTGCATGGGGCACTCTGGCCCTGTCCCATGTGCCACGCCATTGCTGGGCACAGCAGACCTTTCTGAGCTCTGCTCATTTTAGCTTATTTTCCAAAGGAAAGAGATGGAATTAGAGGAGGTGGCCCTGGAACAAGTACATGCAGGTACCATAGGCCCCAAGAAGCTTTGGTGACTAAGTAACATCTTCTTTTATCTCCTGTTCTGATTTAGAGGATTTCCCAGAGATGCCCTCCCAGACACCCATCCCACTACAATCCTGAAGTCAGTGGTGAAGTTTTTGTGCCAACAACCTCAGCATTAGTTTGTACCATACCCTGGCTGCTCTTAGTGTCATGCTTGATGAAGGCATGAGTGGCTTTCCAGGTGGTCACTCTGCAGCTGAAGATTAAAAAGGTGGAGAATAAAAGCACAACTAGGGCTCTAGGGGAGAGGGTCTCATCATCCAGTGAAGCTCCCTGCCTGATTCATAGCAGACTGAGTAGAGCATTGCTGTCATCTATTCTTGACCCCTCTTTCTGAGCTGGTCCATGTCTCTCTCTTTAGAAGATATCAATGACCACCCAAACCCAAACTACACCTAAGCATATGAAAACTAACCCCACCTGAGAACAAATAAAGTTTTTTTCACTGGCCTAGAAGTTTTATTAATCTCCTAGCTCAAATCCAGAAACAAAACCAAACTTCTATGCAGCTTAGATCTCTCCCACCCTCTTGGCTGAGAGAGAAGGTAAATGGAATATTGAACAGCTTATTGAGGGCTAAAAAGTTACTCCAATAAGGCTGTCAGCCCCACATTTAGGTACATCTAAGGAATCCTGGAACAAGGAAAAGTCGACCCCCACAACGCTGACTGCTGTGGGACTGATTACAGAGAGCCCTGAACAGAAGGGTGCTGGGTGGAAACTCCTGGTAAGTGGACCTTAGCTGAACAGACAGACAAGTCAGAGTATGTCAGTTCCAAGATACGATTGAAAATAGACAGAATTACAGTTAAAGTGAAAGGAAGGAGAGAACTCGCATCTGCCTGAACAGAAGGAGAAATATCTTGGCTATTTAGTGGTTAGCTGTCTGAACTCTTTGCAGAACCAGTAAGAGCATTCCACATCCATGTAGTGACGTGCAAGGAGGGCAGGTGCTCCCTGCCCTCTCCATGGAGGGAGCTGTGAGTCTTTATGAGAAACCTCAAGTGTCTTAGAGGACAGCACCCAGCACCTTCTGCTGACGTCCTTTGCCAAGAAGCTGATCGCAGCACAGCTTGCATGTAATACAGAAGCCAAGACAGAGAGCTGTGTTTTTCTCCCTGAGTCAAAGGCTGATAGGGTCCCTTGGTGCCTCATCAAGGCAATGCAATTGCCTTGTACACGTAATTGTGCCTCACAAGGCAATGTATGTTGAATAATGACAAGAAGATCTGTTCCAGTTGAAGGACAGCCTCAAGGGTAGGTTTTCATGCCACTCCCATTGCAGATACAGAAATCAAGCCTGTTCTCACCTACACACCATAGTCTAAATGTCAGGGAGGGAGAAGCCAGGACAATCACTAGCAGGTTGGTTTGTCATGTTTCCAGGTAGTCTAAGTAAGTCATCACTAACACGGACTTGTGTAGATTGGGGAAGCTGAACTGGACTGCCTAAATATTTAATGGGAGGACGTCATTGCCAATCCAGAGAGGCATAATCCTGAAAGGACAGCCTTGGACAGCTATTCACAGAGGTAATCAGATGGCAGTCACATCTGAAGATTCCTGAAGTAGAAACTGAGAGTGGGACTGCCTGGGTGGGTGGTCTCAGATGCTCACCCCATGGGACACCATTCAGCAATACACATCCTTACTTGACATGTACCTGGGCAATAAACCTATTCGCATTAATGCACAGACAATGAACAAGACAAGCCCCTGTCCCCTGAGTGCTAGGGTCTGCTCTGGTGCTTTGGCTACCTTTCTAACTTCAAGACTTGTTCACCAGTGAGCACAATCAGTTGGAGACAGTGAGTGGCCTGCTCCTACCCTTGCAACAGAGACCTTGAGAAAGTTCAGTTTAAATGCAAGGGTTTTGAGTGCTAGATACTTCCCAAATAAAGGAGGGGAGGCCTCAGGAAAGAGTTACATAAATGGACTTTTCCACTTCTCATATCCATCAACAAAGATGCAGAATTATCACTGAGGGATAGATAAGCAGATGCAAAAGAGGTGGTCTGGCTGATGCTGAGGGCCTGAGGCTGTGCCTCCCGTGATGAGGAAGCACAGAACCTGTGTTACAGGTCCTGCCAGTGGCATCTCATGGACTTTCATACTAGTGGGAGGCCAGAGCCTAACACTGGCAATACAATTCACCAATAAATAGTGTCTTGCAAATTGTGTAGAGATTTCAGTTTCACTGAGGATGAAAGTTTAACAGTACTCAGGTCCCCGTGCATACGCAGGGGTCTGGATGTTCTTCTAGGCAAAAATTTCTACAGGTAGAACAGTTGGTCCTTCTGTGCATCCTCAACAGTCCTGTGGGTCTTGGGTCACAGACCCAGATATGTGTAGCACGGGTTATTCACAGAGGAAGCCAGATTTGCTAGTCAATCACAGAGATTTCTACCTGTGAGAAAAAGCAGGAAAAACTGCAAAGAAAGTTATGGGAAATGGAGTTTGCATGCACCAAAGAGCCTCTGGGCAAGATGCTAAAGGAACCAACAGCTACTATGTGTAAGGGATTCATTCTCAAAGGAAAAAGCTTAGGCACAGATTAATGTACTTCCTCTGTGTTTCTGTTTTTTTTTTTTTTTTTTTCTTTTAGGTAGGAAAAAAAATAAGGAGAAAAACCAACCAGGCACAATCAGGCGGGGGAAACAGGAGAGAGGCTACAGCCTGAGCAGACGCCCAGCCCCATGGCGGGCAGCAGCAGGAGGCAGGGTGCGAGGCACAGGCCTGCTCCCCATCTGCCCAGCCACTTGCTTGGAGGGCAGAACAGGGACACAGTGGGGCTGGGAAACCCTCTTCCACCTCCCTGATGAAAGGTAAATGCAGCGCCCAAGAGCTAAGCCTAAAGAGCAGCAGTTTTCACGTACCGTGAGCAGGGTCCCACCCATACCCTGGCCTCGAGTTTTCCCCAGCTACTAACTTCCCTCGTAATTCGCACAGCTTTACTTCCTCCGGCCCCGGCCACATCTACCCCAGCAGTCAAAGCTCACCCAAGATGCTGACGCCGGTGTCCATGGTGCGGGCGCAGGCACAGCACCTGGCGCTGCCTGACAGCCCTCTGCAGCGTGCGGAGACATGCCAGCCTCCACAGCCCAGGTGCACAGCCGCGCCAGCCATGCAAACCAAAGCTACGGAGCTACCTATGGAGCTAAACTGTTGTATTCCCACCCCTGCTCCCACCTTGTATCTACACTCCCAGGTTTACTTTCTGAGACCCTGTAAAATGCTACCACAATCTACTTCATCTTCTCTTCATGGCCTTTGCTGAGTAGCATTTCTCTCTGAGCCTGGCTCCCCTGACATGTAGCTGCTCCAGCAAAACAGGACCTCTCAGTAGGCCACCAGCCCCCACCTGCTACCAGAGAGGATGAAAACCTCACATCGCTGGAGGAAGAGGTCCGGGCAGGTAAATTCCACAGGGGCCGGTAGGACAGAGGAATCCCCATCTGTAGTTATGCCTGGGAATGAGGAAAGGTGCGAAGAGCCTCTGGGGCACTATGGTGAAGAGCCGATGAAAGCAGAAGAGACCAAGCTCATAGATGGGAATTTTCTACAAGGCACAAGGCAACTTCAGCCCTGCTTCCACAGCAGAACTGTGATCATCAGGGTTCAGTAATTCCTTCCCTCCACCTCCAGCACCAGCCCTCCTGCAGACCATTGATAGGGTGCAAAAATAAGTGTTTTTTTTTAAAAAAAAGAAAAATGGAATTGGGAGAAAGCTTGAATGAGGACACACACATTGGCTTACAGCAAAGAGGCACAGATGCAGGTGCCGTGAGTGCTGGTTCTGCCAGAACAACTAGGTTCAGTTTTATTTCTAACATGAAGTTAAGTCTGTGCAGTAGTAGTGTTACATGCGGTCTTTGGAGGGCTTGTGACTCCAGAAGTGGGGACCTATTCGCAAACACTCTCCTGCCAATCAGACCAGGCATATCCAGGGGACAGAAGCATCCCCGAGGGAGACTGCAGCTGGAAGAAGCTTGCAACAGGGCCTGGCACAGGAGGACCACAGGGAATTTCTCCTTTGAGCAGCACCCTCTAACTCCTGCTGCAGCACAGTGAGAGGCCAAACTCAGAGACGCTGTACAAAAGGTAACTGTCCCATTTAATGATCCCTCATTTCCAAAACAAACATACACGTGCGTCACGCACCACAAACGCGCAGCAAAGCAAAGTGCATGGCGAGTAGGACTCGGCCCGTACCCTGCAGGAGGAGACACTCCTGGTACCTCGTGGGGTGCAGGGAGCACACGTGCTCGGTGAGCAGGGACAGAGAGAGTCCAGGGCTCGGTCCAGTTGGCACCAGTATCAGGTCCAGTTTGCAGAGAGGTACAGCTCTGGTTCTGCTTCTGTGCAGCACCAGGAGGCAGGAGGAGAGGGGCAGGTCAAGTACACCAGGACATGGGCTGGAGGAGGTGCTTGGGAGGAGCTGGGGACAGTTCCTGGAGAACAGTGCCGTAGTGAATGTGGAGCCTCCCTGCTTGAACCGCAGCTGAACCGAAGCAGGGAAAGGGAATAGAGAAGGGGGTGGAGGATGAGGAGACCAGACGAGGGCCCTCAGATCTATCTAGCTATTCCCATTTACGGGACATCCTTTGGGAGCGGATCTGCCAGCCACTCCCAAGTGGGGATGGCACAGGTGATGGTAGTTTACCAGAGGTTCCATGTCCCTCTCAGTCTCTCCCAGGCACAGCTCAGAGACCCCTCAGCCAGGAAGGGGGCTGAAGCAACAGGCCTCCCCTAATTATCTGATGGAGGCATCGCTCGGAGGATCACGATCAGACTCCTCACTTTCCTCGTTTGGGGCCGATTCACTGTTTGAGGCTGGGGTGAAGGCAGGAGACTTCCTGAAAAGAAGAATAAAGGGCTGTAGTCAAATCAGTGCTGAGGAGAAGGGGGAAGGGCCGAGCATGCCCTCTAGTTGGGGTATCAAAGCAAGTAGAGAAGCTGGAAAATCCCTCACTCCCCCCGGTGGCCACTGGGAGCCCCTGGGCACTGAGGATGGTCACAGAGCAGCAGCAGATGGAAGGGGGCCCAGCCACCACAGTGTGAAGCGGCACGAGGAAAGGGCCAGAGGCCGCCACCAAGAACAGGACCCAGGCAAGCTATGAGAGGCCAAGGGTGAGGGAGAGCCCAACACAGAGGTGCCCCGCTGGGAGTGCACTAGCTCCACACACCCATGAACTCACACGATATCCCTGCCCGGGGCAGCTCCTCTCTCTCTGTCAGGGTCTCTTTACACAGCCACCTGCCAAACTGACCCCTGGGTGCAGTTCCCCTTCTGAAGATGTGGCACGACGGCCTGCAAGGCTGCTGCCACTGAAAATCCCTTGGACTGTCCTCTCCCCACACATCAGGACAGGGTAGGCAGGACTACCGAGTGCTGCTGGCTCCCAGTCGGCACCACTTGAGCTCCAGTCTTTCCATGGTCTCCTGGCCCTCCTGTTCAAGCTCACCTGTCTCCAGACTGAGTGATGAGCCGCCGGCAGGTCTCCATCTGAACGTCCAAACCTCGCTTCATGCTGCACATTTCCATGTACTCGTGCAGGTGCCGGTTCATGTCATTCTTGGCCGTGGCCAGCTCCAGCTGCACAAGGGAAGCAGCACAGGGATGAGTGCAAGGCGCAGTGCAGAACAGGGGCATGGCCAGATCCTAGGCTGTCACCCCCCATCATCGACTACCTGCTCTAGCAGTTTGTTTCTTCCTCCTCTGGGCACCCACTCCCTTGTTTCCCACCCTTTTGTGTCATGTCCTCCCCACTTCTTCCTCCTCCCACCTCTATTTGGTCGATGGTTTCCTGATACTCCTTCTCACGGCTCTTGAACAATGACTCTGTGTCCTTGATCACCTTCTCCAGGCTGTCATCCTGCTGCTGGGGAGAGGAGATAGCACGTTTAGAGGCAGAGAGATGTCCGACACCAAGAACCAAAGGGAAAAGAGAGAGGTTAGAAAAAGAACTGGTAATGGCAGAAAAAAGAGAAGACATTGGAGCAGTGTAGTTAGTCACAAAGATGTAAGACAGGACTCAGCCCCAGCAACTAGCAAGGTAAAGAGACCTGAGACCTACCACCTTGGGCAGTGAGCACTTCAGCCCAGAAAAAGCCCAGCAATGCACAGAAGTACTAGAAAGTGCAGTATATTCACAGACCAAGTCTAAACACAATGCAACCCCAGGGGATTGATAAGGTCATAAGATGCAAACTAGCATGGGCTTTGACCAGACTGTGGGGCCTGAGCTTGGGCTGCCCTGCTCAAAAAATGGGAAGCTGGGCTGCAGAGACCAAACGAGGGCCTGCCAGAATCCAGAGCAGGCAGGCCCAAGGGACTGCAGCTGGGAAAGGCACATGTCCTTGACACGCCTTCCAGATCAAGGGCACTGTGCAACAGTGAGGAGAGAAGGCCCGCACAAGGATGTGGTAATGCACTGGAGCAAAGGAGCAGGAGGAAAATACCTGCAAGGGCCTCTAAGGGATGGGATGATTCTGTGCAGGGCTGAAGCTTTGAAGGAGCACCTCTCCAGGCTCAGGCAGGATCAAGTTTCTCTCCCAGAGGGAAAGTGCAAGCCCAGGCCTGTATCTGATGGAGAACCTGACACTACCGTTACCTCCCCCTGCACCTCTGCAGCTGCAATGGCATATCCTGAGAAATCCTCCCAGAGGAGCAGCGTTTCTTCCGTCTCCTCCCACGTGAGGCTGTCACAGTCATCTTCAAAGTCATATTCCCTCCTGGAGACAAGGGAAGAGCACCTCAGCACTGAGCAGAAAACTCCTAGCAGGGAGGACAGTTAGGAGAAGAGGCCTGAGTGCTGGCTGTGCCTGTTCCAGAGCAGTGGTGGCTGCTTTGCCCCTGCTTGCACGCAGGGCTCTAACTGTCACAGGCCCTAGCCTGGACAGGCCTGCCCAGAACCTACAGCTGATGGGGAAGGCACTGACTTGATGATCAGGAGCCCTAACAAATGCTGGTGATGACCCTCAAAAACCTAGGAATGCTGGTAATATGAGGAATGTGGGGGGATACGCTGCTGCTGAGGAGGCAATGGGGCACCCCAAAAGGGCATGTTCTGGATGGGAGGGCGCAAGGAAAACTGAAGCAGGCCCTATGGCAAAAAATATACCTCGTGCCTTGCTCGGGGGAGAGCACTGAGCTGGAAGCACCTCCCACAGGACCTGGGACCAGGAGTACAGAGCAGAAAGACAGGTCCAGAGTACAGCCACATGCTGGACCATCCCCTACCCACAACACAGCAGGGCTCAGGCCCTGGTCTCCTGCAAGGTCAGGCCTACCAGGGTAAAGCTGCAGAGCGCAGGGCATAAACACCGCTCTGCAGCAGCAGCTCCCCTCTCGGCCTCATCCGGAAACAGGGGCTGTGACTGCTCCTCCCCAAGCAGCAGCCTTCACAGCAAGGGTGCACATGAAAAGCCTGACGCCCCATGGGCCAAGAAAAGCTGCAGCCCCACGAGGACGTGCACTGCTGTGAGGCCTGTTTGGGAGAGTGGCAGGCTGCTTTCCCCAGATGTGGCATAAAGCCACAGCCCGTGGCCACAGCTGGGCTGGCCACGTGTTGTACCGGGACACGGAGGTGGGGCGGGGGGGCTCAGCGCGCCCCAGGAGCGGGGTACATGGGGCAGCAGCAGCCAATTTGCACAAGTGTCTTCCTCAGCGCAAGAGAGGAGAGGTGTGGAGCTGCAGAGGGGAGGCTGGAAGCCTGGACCACACTCACAGCTGGTTTAGCATCCTCTGCATTTCCTCATTGATACTCATGGCTGTGGTCTCGTCCTCCTCTTCCTCCTCCGGCTTTCGGGAGGCATCACTCTCTGAGAGCGAGGTGTCCTCGTCGCTGACCTGCTTCCGTTCCCGCTTCCGCCCCATCGAGGCTGGGACCTTAACGGGAGACAAGTGCAGAGACTACAGAAACGAGGCCGGGTCCGAGGTGAGGAGTAGGTAGTTGAGAGGACATGGAGGGAATAGGAATGGTGGAGGGACAGAAAGACAGGGAGAGAGAGATGGAAAGAAAGAAAGGAAGAAAGGAAGGAAGAAAAGTGAGAGAGAAAGAGAGAAAGAGGGGCTTATTATGACCAGGTTAAAGATGATGCAATGGCTAAAGTATGGTTTTAGCATTTTTCTAAAAATAAAACTAAGCAACTAAAGATGGAAACTATGAATCTGATGAGAAAACAATGTGGTTTAATTGCAGAACTCAAATCACCCACCACCCCAATTCAGAGACAGAGGCAAGTACAGCAAAAGAGACAGGAAAAAACAGACAAGAGTCTAAAAAAAGTGAAATATGTCAATTTTTACAGTCCAACCTTATTTTACAGAAAGTTTATAGTTTGTACACTTTTTCAACTGAATGAAACTAACCAGCTGCTTCTGTAGGGAAAAAAAAAAAGAGAGAGAGAGAGAGAGAGAGAGAGAGAAAAGAAAGAGAGAGAGGCAGCAACATCCAGAAAGAAAAAAAGAGTGACAGAAGAGAGACAGAGAGAGACAGAGAGAAGATGATGGAGAGGGGAGGGGAAGGAGAGAGATGGAGTTAGAGACAGACACTTAGGCAACTTATCTCCCTCCTGCAACTGCTTCCCTATCACTGTGGGGTCCCAGGGCCCAACACTACAGAACAAAAGGTTTGAGGGGACTCTTGCTGCCTGAAGCAACATGTGGAGCACCTGCCCCCTCTCTGTGCCCTTTTACCTGATGCTTCCAGAGCACAGCATCCAAGAGAGAGAAAGAGACAGACAGAGCAAGCAAGGGACCGTGTGGAACAAGAGCCAGGGCGACCAAGTGTCTCCCTTAGCAAGGAAATGATGTCTCAACCTTCTCCCTCCTTTGGGAACACTTCTCCCTGTGGCAGAGACAGCACAGCAGGCACATCTCACCTGAAACATCTTGATCATGTCCTCGCAGTTGCGCTGCTGCGCCACGTCACACAGCTTGGCCGTGATGTCGATGCGCCGGCAGATGTCCATGTCCACCTTCATGGCCTTCTCTTGAATCTTGGTGTCCAGCTCAGTGATGTTCTGAACACACAGGAGCACCACAGAAGTGGGACAAAGGAGCAGGAGGATTAGACAAGACACCCAGCAGTCAGAGACTTCTTGTTCCTATTAGCGATAAAAGTCCCTAGGGGCTGGGACCATGTTCACCTTCCCTCTGAACTCACTGCAAGGCTGGAGAGGGGGCCATGACTCACATTGCTCATCAGTCCCTTGAAGACAACAAGCTCTGCCTTGAGCTGCTCCACCTTCATAGCGAGCTCCTCCTGGCAGGCTTCAGCCTCTTGGGCCTCCTGCCCCGGACAGAGGGAGACCCGCCTGTCAGCGTGAGCAAGGGTGGCCACCGCAGGCACAGGGGGGCACAGGGCTACTCACCTCCTGCAGCTCAGCCACTCGGTCCTGAAGCTGGACACGCACTGTGTACTCCTCTTCCCACCTAGGGAGACAAGCGTGCTGCTGGCAAGGGCACAGTAGCAGCTGCCTGGGCCCTTCCTGCCTCTCCCCAG